GTGGGATGGATAGAGGAAATAAACATTTAACCACAGTCTTCCAATCAAATATTTCTCTCTACTTTACATATATACTTCTAAATTCAATGCTAAGTTTAGCTAATGATAATTCTAAAAACTCCCACTATTCTTTATTAGAAGTAAACTGAATTTTACAAGAGCATTTTTGATTATGTTTTATCACCTTTAATTACTATAAAACAAGGCTCAAATCAGGAAAACATAGCAAAGTGAGGCCATCAATGAGATTTGTGTGACCAAGGCAGCTAGGATGTCATAGTGCTATCCAATGTAGTCACGCAACCCAAAGTGAATTCTATAAGAAATACCAATCAAATGGACACTTTGAGGTACAAGGACTTAAAATATCCTTCCTACCAAGTCCCCTTTTTTTGTAAAAATAAGTCACACAAGAAAAATGTTCTTTCTTGACCTGAGTCTTAAATGTAACCAAACTGAGTATTTGTTAAGATAGAAAAAGTTAGTCTTCCAACATGGGACTCTTTCTGTCTGAAAAAAATCACATTTGATGACCACTCAGCAAGAGCATGCTGACAAACTAAAATGCAATTAGGCACAGAAATCTCCAAAGATCTCAATCATAATGGGCTTTAAAAGTTAAAACAATTCTCATTAACCCATGAAACCATAAACTGAAAGTCAATAATACCGACAACAAGAAAAAATACTACTACTGTTAGTCAACATCTACAAGCAAAGTAGTATGAAACACACTAAAAGTGTAGTAACCTTCAAAAGTTGCCCTAACACCAAACATATTAATTCAACCAATCACAAAGCTATGAAATTTAAGAATGACTTGGTGTAACCAGGCGCAGTGGCTCACACCGGTAATCTGAGCACTTTGGGAGGCCAAGGCAGGTGGATCACCTGAAGTCAAGAGTTCGAGACCAGCCTGACCAACATGGTGAAACACCATCTCTACTAAAAAATACAAAAATTCACCAGGCATGGTGTTGTGTGCCTGTAATCTCAGCTACTTGGGAAGCTGAGGCAGGAGAATCACTTGAACCCAGGGGACAGCGGTTGCAGTAGGCTAAGATCCTGCCACTGCACTCCAGCCTGGGCGACAGAACAAGACTCCATCTCAAAAAAAAAAGGAAAAGAATGACTTGGTATATAATGTAATTGGAAGGAAAATGAATTAGACCCTAAAAAAGAAACAGTAGCACATAAAGCAATTACCCAAGGTTATGATCGTATAAAGGAAAAAAATAAAGCTCTTCAGAGAAACCCATGAACAATAGCGGAATAATAAAATACAAATGAGAGCCAAGACTTACATTAAGATGCTTAAATACACACACACACACACACACACACACACACACACACACACACACAGAGAGAGAGAGAGAGAGAGAGAGAGAGAGAGAGAGAGAGAGAGAGAGAGAGACTATAAAATATGTATAAATACCTGATCACAGAGAGACTGCAAAATGGATGTGACATATTCAACACACTGTTGGCGAATAACACTGTCTCCAGGAGACCGCACCAAAGCTAAAAGATCCTGGAATATCTCTGCATATCTTTCATCACCTTTAATAGTTCCATTAATTAGATGCAAAATAGCTAATTTACAAGCTTTGTGTGAAGCCAGAGCATCAAGAAGAGCAAGCAACCTGGTGGTTTGGCTAGTATACTGTTTTTCTTTATCTTCTGAAGTGCTGAAATAAAATCAATACATTTAGTAAACAATGTTTTTGATCTTAAGGCATTGTTTAACTAATATTTATTTCTCAATACACATCAACTTACACAAATTTTGCATAAAACATTTAATTCCTTGGATATAATGACAACTTCTCTGGAATTTTACAATTACTGCAAAAATTTTATAAATTCAGGTTTCCAATAATATATTTTCCTAAATCAGAGTACTTCTTTAGAATTCACCATTTAAAAACCCAAAAAACAAGATCGTCAAGATAGCTTGCACATGAAATGATGAAATAAAGCTTTCTAATTTAAAGTCTACAAGTATTCATATAAATATGTGTGTATATGTAGGTATATGTGTATATTTACATGTATATATGTTATCTGGGCATTCCAAACCCTAGTTTCCAAATTATAAGGGAAAAAATATATCTGTGTCAAAAATAACTTGAGGAAAAAATTTTTAATGCAAAATGAAAATACCTTTGCAAGTCTTCTACAATCAAATCCAACACAGTTCTCATAATCAGAAGTGCAGTTGGTGAGGCAAGGTCACACAATTGAACACAAATACGCCGTAACATATGTTGAATGGGCTGGCAGGTTGTGCCAGAGAAAGAGCGAACTATTTCTTGGAGCAACTTTGCTTGAACATGAAGGTGCATGCTCCACAATTTTCGGGTGTTGAGTGCCACTGATATATCATGTGGCTCAATAACCTGTTAAAAAAGTATAATGTGTGTGTACGTAGATTTTTTAATATTTATTTATAGTCACAAAAACTGTTCAGGAAGAACTGTTACGAAAAGAACATTTTTACTGCATGCTTAAAACATTCAATTTTCTATTATACAGTTAAACATTTGCTTGAATTCAATGAGTCTAAAAAATCTTATTGTTCTCAGGTGAGCAGTTAGTTGAATAGAGTCCATTGGTGAAGCAACCCAGTTATTGGCAAATTCTAACACATAAGGAGGAGGGAAAGGATTTAAAACAGAAATATGGAAGTACAAACATACATAACAGCATAATAAAACTCACTTTAACAAAAATTCATTTAAAATGTTACCCCTGTATTTCCTCAACGACCAACTTGCTTCAGTTTTATCTCCCCCTCATCCAGTTATTTTATGTCTTTTTGGGAGGAAGGAAGATGAGGGTTTTTGTTTTTTAACAAAATCACTGGCTTTTAAAAAAAAGTGTTACGCAGTCATTTATAAGATGCATGTTATATTGAAGTGATACCTGAGTTGTTTGCATGGGCAATGGAAGAGGCAGCAGCTCTGAAAGGAGTATGAGTCCCGAAAAAAATCCTTCAGGAACCTTCAAGATTGAAGAAAGAACTTCTTTTAACATTAAAGACCAAGTATTATTGGCCAGAGTCTCTTCTGAGATTGTGAGTTTTTCATTAACTCCTTGTGTAAAAGTCAGTAAAATATCAATGATATCATTCTGAATTTTCTGTTCATCACTATCCAAACGACCTGAGAGGGGGATAGAGCACAGGAGCATATGTAAAGTAACAAGCGCTGAAGGAACACGCATGTCCTTAAACTCAAAGGATCCACCTCTCAGGAGTTCCGTTAACATAGTTTTAAGAAGCGTGAGGGTGCAGCGAGCCATTGAAATAGTAGTAACTCTGTGAAGGGTAGTCCCCATGTTGACATGGAGCCTCCAAGGCTGAGTCAGAATACTGTTCAATTTTTGCAGAACTCGAATAAATGTGTCCATTCCTTCAGCAGAAAAAAGCTGAATAACGGCAAGATTCCATTTCAGATCTTTCTGTTGACCTTTACATAGGATAAGGAAAACAAACAAAACTAATTATTTATATGTTAAGATTAAGAATTATTAATTATTAAACTGAATATTTAATAAATGATATTTAATTATTTATGATTATTTTTATATTTATAATAAATGATTTTTATAAATATTTATGACAAATGTTTATTTTTAAATATTATAAATTACATTTAATAATTATTAAACTAAATATTTAATAAATGATATTTATTCTAGCCTTAAGAATAGTAGTTTTTAAAATATAGTAGCCACATTACCTTCAACAGGAGGTGGTGGGCATGCAACATTACAGAGAACACGTAAGGCAGTGGTAAGGCCAACTCCTTCTGGGGTCATCAAGTTATCAATATTCTTTAAAAATAAAAATGAACAGAATGTATCATTTCTTAGTACCCATCAGATCAACAGAAAATTCCAGACAAGGAATTAGTTAAAAATATGAGCTCCAAGTTAAGAACAACATTTTATATTTATTAAGTAAACTTAAAACGTGAATAAGGCCTTAGAGCTAAATGAATTTATCAAGATTATTTATCTCTCGCATATGTTGTACTATATGCAATATTATGTAAATAAAAAGAATTGAAAGGTACAAGCTCATTGAAAAGAACCAACTAGAACAAAGATAAAGAAATGTAAGAGTTTAAACTGGTTACTTTCTATATACTCTTTTCATACATCTTCTCTGCCAAAAATGAAGCAATGACTATGTTTTAAAAATCCTGTCAGGGCTGGGTGCAGTGGCTCAGACCTGTAATGTCAACACTGTGGGAGGTTGAGGTGGGAGGATCACTTGAGCCCAGGAGTTTGAGACCAGCCTGGGCAACATAGTGAGATCCTACCTCTACAAAATATTAAAAACTCAGCCAGGCATCATGGTGCATACCTATAGTTCCAGCCACTCAGGAGGCTGAGGTGGAAGGATCACTTTAGCTTGGGAGGTTAAGACTAGAGTAAACCATGATCATGCCATTGCACTCCAGCCTGGGCAATACAGTGAAACCCTGTTTGGAAAAAAATAAAAAGCCCTGTGAGTACTAAACTTCCTTCAAAACTGAGGAAGCAACAGGGAATGGTTTTGGCCTATATGACATAAATTTTTTTAAATACAGATACCAAGGGAGTCCAGTTTATTGTAGCCAGGTGGGGCATAGGTTAGAGGAAAAACAAATAAAATTGCCTGTGTCCTTAGCACTTGCCTATGCTATGTTTCTAGGTAACAAATAGTTTTGTTTCAGTTTTCTTAGCTTTCACAGAACAGCATTATCAATGGTTTAAAAACTTGGGGCCAGGCGTGATGGCTTATGTCTGTAATCTCAGCACTTCAGAGGCTGAGGCGGGTGGATCACCTGAGGTTGGGAGTTCAAGACCAGCCTGGCCAACATGGTGAAACCCCATCTCTACTAAAAATACAAAAATTAGCCAGGTGTGGTAGCACACACCTGTAATCTCAGCTACTCGGGAGGCTGAGGCAGGAGAATTGCATGAACCTGGGAAGCAGAGGTTGCAGTGAGGCAGCATCAAACCACTGCACTCCAGCCTGGGCGACAGACCAAGACTCCATCTCAAAAAAAAAAAAAAAAAAAAAAA